CACCCTCTCCTGGCCCCCATGTGGCAGCTGCCAGCCTGTTTCCCCACCCCAGAAACCTGTGCCTCAGGTAGCCAGCACTTATAGTTTACTGGCACCCTCTAGCCATTCCCCATTTGTACCGGATAACAGGGATTTTACTGCACCCAGTAAAATTGAGTGAACTGAAAAACATGTAAATTAGTAAAAACCAAATAACTTCAATTAAAATCCTGGCCCCCATGTGGCAGCTGCCAGCCTGTTTCCCCACCCCAGAAACCTGTGCCTCAGGTAGCCAGCACTTATAGTTTACTGGCACCCTCTAGCCATTCCCCATTTGTACCGGATAACAGGGATTTTACTGCACCCAGTAAAATTGAGTGAACTGAAAAACATGTAAATTAGTAAAAACCAAATAACTTCAATTAAAAAAATAAAAATAAAAATCAGAGAATTTATTGGTGAAAATTGGAAAAAACTGAAAATGCGGAACACTAATTATACCAAAACTTTTGATAGAGTCAAGCATAAGGAGTTAATGAAAATACTGGAAGAACTGGATACTGATAGTAAAAACCTGAGAATTTTAAGAAACCTCTATTGGGATCAAACTGCAGCAGAAAACAAACTGATTTCATCCAAATTGAGAGGAATAAGGCAAAGGCTGTGTTTTGTCACCTGACTTTTTCAACTTGAACTGTGAGAAAATACTGAGGCAGATTGAGGATTTATCAGGGCTGATCACTGGCAGACAGAATTTGAACAACTTGTGTTATGATGATGACTCAGTCTTAATAGCCGATTCAGAAAAGAAACTGCAAGGAATTTTAGATAAAACTGTTAGTGAGAGCAAGAAGAAGGGTTTAAGTATCAACTGTAGAAAAAAAGAATGCGTCGTAATTACAAAGAAAAAGATGGAAAACCCTATAAAATGTCAGGATTTGATTACAACAAAGACAAAAAATGAATACATGATGAAAACTGCATAAAACAATCATATTAAAAATCATTGATACAATATATATTAGTTGTATTGTTGAGTTTTACAAATGGTTTTCACTTAACATACAAAAGTAATTTGTTAAGTAATAGAGTAAGGTTTCTGATACTTCACTATTACAAAATACTATACGCTGAAGATACAGCAGGGAATTTGTAGATGGAATTCACTATATAACACTGTTTCAGTGAAACGTACCAATGCCTAAAGTTCCAAAAACACCCCAAAAAAACCACGCCCCACAAAAGAAACCCATATGGCAAATGTTCTCCTGTAGTGAAAAAATTAGAATCTTGTTTTGAAATTTAAACTCTAAAGATGGAGGTTTCTAACAACAGTAACTTTCAAAATGTTGCCACAATTATTTAAAACCACTAAATGAATTTTCATTTGAGAAAAATACGTAGATATATTTATTCATGTTTAATTACTAGGAAGAGACATACTCCAAAAGAAAGCCAAAAAATATTTATAAAAAGGAATCTCACATACAATACTAAAATATGTTGCAATATCCTAATTACAGTAGAATTACAGAGATGTAGGGCTAAAAGAAACCTCACAGGATCATCTAGTCCAAGGCAGAATCATCCCTATCCAAACCAACCTATACAAATCCATTATCTAATCTCTTAACAAACTACACAATCAACCCTAACATAACACAAGACATAACACTATAACCTGACACAGATAAAGAAGGGGAACCACCACAGCTAACATCCTACTGCAAAGCTTGTTAGTATATGCTCAAGAGATCCTAGGAAATGGGTCACACCCCTACTACAAAGCAAGGCAACCCACCTCCCCCCCCCCCAAATCTGTACCAATCTGACTATATAATAAAATTCCTTCCTGACTCCAGATCTGGTTGTGTTTGGCCCTGAGCAGAGGGTCAAAAACACTTTAGCCAGGAGTCTCTGTGTTTTAAGTTCCAGTGGAAGCAACAGCACACCCCAGTTAAAGTCCCTAGCCTTGGCTGTAGCTAGTAACCAATGCCTCTGAGGAAGAGTTTAAAAACACACTGACATATAGAAGAAGGGTGGGGGGAGGGGTGCGCAAATCAGGAAAGCCCAGAAGCATGGGAAACAGCCACAGGAGAATATAGGCATAGCTATGCCTAGACCAAGGGTGCTCAACCTCTGGCCACAGAGCCATTGCATCTAGTCCATGGAGTTTCCCATGGATCAGGAAATCTGGCAGTGGGGGAATTGTGACCAATAATATGGCCATAGACCTCCCTGACCAATTCAAAACCCCCAAGTCCTACTTGGTGGACTGGGCTGGGCTGCGACCCTTTCCCCTGTGGGGCCAGGCCACATCCCCCCTACACTTCTGGATCAGGACTGGGCCATGCTTCCTTCCCTCCAAATGGGGCCTGATTGGGGCCGGGCCATGCCTCTTTCCCCCACAGGGCTGGGTTACCCCCCTCCCCTTCACAGGGCCAAGTCAAGCTCCTTTAACCTGCAGGGCTGCAGTGGGGGAGGCCTGGCCCCCACCCTCCTCCAAATGGCCAGATTTTCCACGCTGTGCCTGCCTGGGGACTGGATCAAGAACACTGGCTGGATCTGCCCAGTAGACAGACTAGGCACTACCAACCTGGCCCACCAGGCAAAAAGATTGAGAGAACAGCTTGCCTAGATCCATCCCTGACCAATCTGTACAACCTATTCTTGAACACTGCCAGTGATGGGGAGTCCACAGCTTCTTTAGCCAGTCTATTCCACTGCCCCACTATTCCAATAGTGAAGAAAAATTTTCCTGCTATCCAATCTAAACTTACTTTGTTGCAACTTCAAGACTGCAGAAAATATTTTGAAGTTTTAGAAGATATTTTGAAGACCAACTACCATATTTACTTGAATCCCAAGACAAGGTCCCCCCACAATCAGCATGGGAGGGAAGGCCTGCCATCCTACATTCACATAAAAGATAGGCAGTGTATTTAATGTAGCTATCTTTGAACTGCTGTTAAAAGCAGCATGTGCTCATCAATGGAAACCAACTATGAAGCTGATTAAAATATAGCCAGCACTGAGCATGACTATAAAACACACAGGCCATATTGTGCAAACATGCTGATTAGAACCTGCCACAAAGATAAGTCAGTGTAACTCATCTGAATAAAATGTATGGTAGAGCACAATCCCTCTCAGCATTAACTCTTTGTCAAGTCATGGTGAGCCACTACACTGGCTCATGCCCCATTTTTACTTCCTTGTCACTCCCACAGCTAAGCTGCGTCTTTCTTCCCCATTTCCAACGAATCCTGCTTCTCTACAAGCCTTAAATGCTAGGCAAACATCACTAAACAGGGCCCCAAACAGTTCACCCAGAATCCCTCTGTTACCCCCCTCTCTCAGCCTGTTGCAAACTGTTAGTCTGGCCCTGGCCTCCATGAGGTGAAGCCAGACCGAGATGCCCTATGCCTCAACTGCATGTAAATTTTTGGAGGATCCCAGGACTCATAACAAGAACACCTTGTTCCAGTCATGAGTGGGTGGGGGGTAATTAGCAAATAGATCCTTTGTGGGGGTGTCTGGAGTATAGACCTACACTGAGCAATGCTGAGCCATGGGTTCACATGGCTTAAAATGCTGTCAGCAATGCTGGGGCCCATCCCAATGAACTATATGGTAAATAATGAGCCTTTTGACTTTGGACTAATATCATGCATAGTTTGTATTATGTAAGTAGATGGCCATGTGTTACTTACGTGTATGTTTACAGAGTACCTATGCTAAAACTTGCAGCAGTTTAAAGAAATGGTACCATGCATCAATTCTGGATGAACAAAGTATATGTGTACTATATGCAAATTGCTACAACTATATTTATTTCAAGGTCAGTTTTTTCAAATTTGCTCCTCACTTCCATGTGTTCAGGGTAAGCAAGGTCTGACAGTAATGGGGGGGAGGGGAGGGGAGGGGAGGGGAGGAGGAGAAGGTGATGCAGGGGAAAGAAGTTTGGGGGGGGAGGGGGCAAAGGGGCTACCTGACCCTTCAGATTTTCCCTGCTGTAGCAGTGGGAGGGAGACAAATTCAAGACAAAGCTCTGCTAATTAGATGCTATACCTGGAAAATGTTAACAATTTTATAAATTGTCCATATACAGAATCTAATTATTGGGGGAGTTGTCTTATAATTGAGTAAATATGATATGGAACTGCAACAGTTTGCGCGCTGGTACAGTGATGCAAACTGCTTAAAGAAAGTACAACTGCCATCATTACAAGACATTTTGGGTATGGAAATATGTCAAAATACTGCAGCAATCAGGCATACTAATTTCAAAAGACAAGAAAACAATGTTTATAGCAACATATCAACATCAAAACTTAATATTATAGCACAAAAACATATTTCTAGAGTAGTCAATCCAAGCCTCACTTTGGAAATGCCAGTAATTCCACCAAGTAAATAAAAATTAAATACAATTTAAATGAGATTTAGTCACCTTCCATTTTTAATAACAATATATATTCTTGCTTACTCACCACTGGTACTAATCATCATATTTCCAGAGTTTCTCACTTCATCAAATTTTGCAAAGATCACTTGTAACCTAGAAATAAAGGACAAAAGTTATTTTCTTTTATGTGAAGCTTAGGTGTTGTTTTTCCAGCTCCCTCCAGTTAAAATAAAATTGAAATCAAAACTAATTCCAACTATGCTGCAAGAGATAATGAAGATGAAAGATGGAAGACAAATTATTTTTTCTGGCGATCAAAATTTTTTTCTGCAAACAAGCAATTTCTCATTTTGAAGTTAAATTTATTCAAATTCATTAAAAATTCAATCCACTTAGTAAGATCCACACAGGCAGCCAGCAAACAGGGACTGCAAACAGGGTAAGCAGTTTGCAGGCAGCTGCTAGGGGCAAGAGGAGGAAAGAGGAGAGAAACCAGGAACCAAATCCTGCCGAGGAAAGGTAAGTGATCCAGCTGCCTGTGCCTTTGGTTTCCTGAGTGTTTATTTGGTGGGCTGCATGCGTTTGAGGCATGTGCTCTGAGAAGCTGAGAGTGATTGCTGCCTGGACCTGCCAAAAGCCCTAATGAGGGAGCAGAGCCAGTTGAGCCCCAGCAGGGCATAAAAGGAGTCCCTGGTAACCTGGGGAGACTGCAAACAAGGTAAGCACTTTGCAGGCAGCTTGCAGGCCAATTCCTAGGCCAGTTCATGTGTGTTTGAGGTGTGTGCTCTGAGAAGCTGGAAATGATTGCCGACTGAGTAGTGGGGACACTGGTGGGGACCCATTGTACCCCATGGCTTCCTGCCTTGGCCCCAGATGGTGCTTATTCCCATTGCATCAATGAGGCTTCCTCCCAGAAGGAACCTATGGTTCCATCCTCCACCCAGACAGAGCCCCTGGCTCTGGGCTATGGAGGCTGCCTGGCATGGCTGCCAGCAACTGGGAATGGGAGCGAGGTCACCCTAGCCCATGAGGTCTGCTGCTTCCCAGGGGCCTGTATCCGGGACATGGCAGAAAGGATTCCTAAACTCATCTGGCCCTCTGATCACTACCCCATGCTCCTCATCCATATGGCCACAAATGACACAGCTTGGAGCAATCCTGGCTGGGTCATGAGTGACTACAGGGCTCTGGGGGCTAGGCTTATGGGGCTGGAGGCGCAGGTAGTTTTCTCCTCCATCTTCCTGGTTGTGGGCCTAGGAAAGATGGATGTATCAAAGAGGTGTACCAAAGGCTCCAGCAATGGTGCTACCGAGAAGGTTTCAGCTTCCCTGACCACAGCACATACTTCAGAGACAGAGGTCTTCTGGGAAGGGATGCAAACCACCTCATGCCAAAGGGGAAGGCTCTTTTCTTGGCTAGGATGGCAGACCTCCTGGATAAGACTTTAAACTGAGATTGCCAGGGAGGGGAGGGGCCAACAACCAACCAACCGTTACAACAAGAGATACCAGGGAGGACACCACAGCACAAGCCGAGGGAATGGAGCTCCCTCAAGGTAACAGGAAACCAAGGACCTCCAGCAGAGGGCTCAAATGCCTGTACACAAATGCCAGGAGCACGAGGAACAAACAGGAGGAAATGGCCCTTCCGCTTTCCAGCCATGACTACAATATCATAGGGATAACAGAGACCTTGTAAGACTCTACCCATGATTGGACTGCAGCTATAGAGGGCTAGACCCTGCATAGGAGGGATCACATAGGGAAAATGGTGAAGGTGTAGCTCTATATGGAAAAGAAGCCATACACATCCTTGGAAGCTAAAATTGGAACCAAGGAAGGGAGACTTGAGACCCTCTGGGTCAAGATGGGAGGGGGGGGACCTTACTGTAGGAATGTATTACAGACTTCTGAATCAAGATGAGTTAATAGATCTGGAATTGTCCAGAGAACTGGAAGAGACTTTAAGAGAATGGGACATGGTCATCATGGGTGACCAACTACTCAGACATCTCCTGGGAAGAGCACTTGGCCAGATCTGACCAGTCACATAGATTCCTGACTTGTAACACCGAGGTCTACCCATCTCAGGAAGTATACAGGCTGACCAGAAGAAGTGCCCTCCTAGATTTTCTTTTGGCCGAGGGGGACAACTTAGTGAGTGATCTGATGATAGAGGGTAACCTAGGCAACAGCGACCATAACACTATCACTTTCACTGTCTGTCGTAGAGCTGGGAAATCTGTCAGTAAGGTACAAATTCTTGACTTTAAAAAAACTGAATTCAATAAGCTAAGGACTTTAGTGAGTAATGCCCTATGGGATCATGGACCTCAGGGAAAGCACATGGATGAAGAGTGGTCATTCTTCAAAGAGACGATCCTCGGTGCACATAAGTCGTCCATACGTATACGCAAACAAGGTGGCACAGGGGCTGGGAAGCCACCTTGGCTCAATAGAGAAGCTGCAAATTTTCTGAAAAAAGAAAGGAAGGCTTACCAATGATGGAAGCTAGGAATAGGCCCCAAGGAGAACTACATAAGATTGGCCTACACCTGTAGGGGGCAGATTACAAATGCAAAGTCGGTGACCAAATTCAGGTTAGCAATCGAAATCAAGGACAGTCAGTTCTTCTACAGGTAAGCAGGTAACGGGAGGAAAACCAGGGGAAGCGTGGGACCCCTGCTCAATGCATCTGGACATCTGATCACTGACACCAAGGAGAAAACAACTCCTGAACGAGTGCTTTGCATCTGTATTCCACCAGTCTAAGAGTGATAGCCTACCGAATGCAAATATGACATACAATAGTCACAGTAGAAATGATCACTTACCAACAGTCAATGTAGAGCTGGTGAAACAACAGCTAGAGAGACTGGATATCTGTAA